GCCGTCCGTCTCCTGTACACGTGAGTGTTGACATGTGTCCTACTAGAGGCCAAAAAACTTGCGGGAAATATAGTATGTAAAGGGGTTTTCTGTATACACGTAAGGGGCTTTGTATGATGGCTGAGAGTAAGATCAAAGGAATTCCAGCTAGTCCAAACAACGTAGATGCGTAGTGAGAGCTTCCTGCTGAGTTTACGGGTAGTTATACCATAAAGAGGCCATACGATTTCCCCATACTTTAGCTGTATGTCAACTCATTTGCAAAAACCACAGTGGGTATATGGTAGTTATAAGATAGTAGGAAATTGGCAGCGTGTAATGCAATTGGGGGGCTTTTGCTTTACCAGAAGGGAGTGTTTTCAGGCTAGAATGGCCAGAAACTGCTGTAGTATATACGCGGTCTGAAAACTAGCGAAAGCTGCTTCCTGACACGTAGGCTCCCGTGGACTTGAACAGTATTCGGTGACTTTCAGCTTTCGGATCAACTGGAGTGTACGGACCCGGCGCGTAGCGACTTCCATCGATGCGCAAATCGTGCGCGCCTGTCCAAATAAGGCCACGCCAACTCGATGCCGTTTCAGCAAGCCAAGAAAAAGGCAAGATGGCAGGGTCGGAAGACTGAGAGTAAGATGTGGCTTCAGTTTTGATAGACCACTCGGCTGCGCCCTCGTGCCCTATCAAAACTGGCCACTCGTGTAAAACCAGTAAACCACGCGCCGCCATCATATAACCTATACGTATACTAGTAATCCCATATTTCTATAACTACAATCTTACTCTGTCAAACTTACTCTTATATCATGGAGAGTGCTAGCTGTATCCTGTTTTTACAGAATCTCCAGGACGTCCATCTGATGTCAGAGTGTCAAATGTTACCAACACATCGGCCGTCCTCTCCTGGTCTCCTCCTGACAATGGTGGAGGGAGACCTCTCTATGAGATAGTCTACACCGTCACTGGCAGTGGTGAGAATTCCTTCATTGTTAATTTTGTAGTATGCATTTACAATGGACTTTAAGCAACCAGTCCATCCAACATGTTAAGTATTACTCTGACCAAAATTCACAAACTATTGCATGCCGTATTTTATTAACCCTCGGCGCGCATGCGCAGCGAGGGTTATAGTACTTGGTCTGTCTGTCCACGTTTTCTCCCGCTACGCGCAACAAGACGGCCAAAAAGCGATACCAACGGGTTCAGTGCCACACTGGCTTTATTTTTAAAATAGCGATTTTGGTAAAAATGCTGCGTTAGAAAGTTATGGCGTGAAAAGCAAGTCAAGAAGCTAATATGCAAATTAGCACAGGCTTATACCTCTACCGCATATGCTCGCTCTGTGTATCTTGAAGGCACATGAAGTCACAACGAAGGGCATGTATCGACTCCCGCATGCTATCTACTACTGTAGCTAGCCCGCGTCAGACTCTCCGCGAGCTACTAACCACGAGTAAAGAAATAAAAAGCCCAGTCCATCAATTAGTGGTACCGCGCATGCGCAGTTCGCCGAGGGTTTGCACTTTAGTGCTTTTCATTATAGCTTGTTCTGAGTTGCGCATCCTATGCATTTCCTGTTTACTTGCCACAAATTCTGAATATCCTACACGTTTTCCTGAAGTGTTAAAGACAGGTATTATCTGCTCTGTAAAACCCTATGTGACTTCCCTATGTACTGTATAGACAGAGGAGGAAGTGGAGGAGAGAGAGTGTTGGTGAGTGAGGTGAATGATACAGAGACCATTGTGACTGGACTGACTCCTGGTGTCCTCTACACATTCTCTGTATCTGCTGAGAATGATGTCTCCTCTCAGGACAACAATATCAATGCCAGGAGTCTCAGTACCACTGCCAACACTCAGGAAGGAGGTTTGTATAAGCCATGGGTGGAGGGAGTGCTTTTCCATGCACACTGTATATACAGTTAGAAAATAATATCCTTGGGAAAGCTGTAGTTTATTGTAACAAGCTCTGCAATAAAGTCTGAACTACAAAGGTTGTATATAGTCCTATGGGATTTGCCACTTATACTCCTGGCCATACACATTGTGATTGTGCAGTACTGACAGGAAGTCCTTATCACAACATCTAGTGCTAGGCATAGTGCCAATTGTCTGGATTCCAAAGTTTACCCAACAATCCGGTATGTCAGCACCACACATGTAGGGCAGGATGAAGCAGCAGAAATGCAGCATTGTGATCCACTCTTGTCCAGTATAGTCAACAGCTTCAGAGTATATCCTGTACCGCCTTGCCGCCTATAATATGTTAAAACATTTATCATTCAACCACACCCCATGCAGTTGGAGGGACAGTGACAGAGTTTGTGGTGGGAGAGAATGGAGTGTTGAGCTGGTCTTCTCCAGTTCCTCCTAATGGAGTCATTCTCTACTACAATGTCATCATATCCACAGCTGACTCTGGGCAACTGGTCACCAGAGTTGGGGAGTTGGACGTCTTGACTATTGATGTCTCCAACTATGGAGAGATGAACATGGACTACAATGTTACGTAAGGCTTTTGAGAATGGTTGTTCATTTATGTAGGCATTTTTTTAATGCACAAAGATTTTTTACTCCACAGTTCCTACACAAGACATTATATTTTAAAGGCTGTGGGTATTCTGTTTTTGTTTCTATAATAACCACATTAATTTTGTTTCATGACTGTTATGCTTTCTAGTTCACCACCATTTTTACCTGAAACTAAGATGATGTACCTGGGTGTGCTAGCAAAATACCTCACAGTAACCATAATTTGTTCACTGTGTGATCGTAAAACAATCACAGTAGTACAATAGTGTAGCATTTAGCACACCCACTTTTATCATCTCTTAAATGTCATTCAGTGCAGGCAGTGACGTCAGTTGGAGGAGGGGATTTCTCATCTCCGGTGACAGTATCTCTCAGAGAGCCGTCACCTGACTCCAACTCTAATGAGCATATGTAACTGTTGGTGCAATTGCTGCCATCATTCTCACTCTTGTCTCACTGTGGTTGCTCTTTGTGCCTATATCTGCTGGTATGTTTTACCATGAAGGATGATTCATTAATATGTGATACATAGATATAATCATACTTGACTGCTGTCAATCAAAATCAAACACAGTTTTGTTTTTCACTAACAAAACTTGTGGTTTTCCCCAATGTAACTATGTAAATTTTGTGAAGGACGATACAGTGAAACATTTTGATGAAGGAAACTAAAGGGTTCTGAAGGCTTCTTGTGAATGTCCAGTCCACACATTCAAGCATCCTATATATTATGTAAAGGCTCTGCTGCTAAACCCTGTCAGTAATAATAGAATAACGCTACCCTTGCAACATGGCACACTTTTTGTGGCCAGCAAGTGGCACCAAGATGATTTGCATTTCTCAGCATTAATTAAATACACTTCACTTTCATTATAAGAGTGCATTAACCAATTACACTCTGGTGCGAGCACCCAGCGTACAGAATGCTGATGCACATGGTGGGACAAGACGACCATGATGTCTCTGGGCAGGTGTGGCCTAGGGTGGAGTCAGGCCCTTGCGACATGGTGTAAGCGATGATACAGTGCATGATTAGCCCAACAAGCTAATCAGCTTTGATTTTGAAATAATCCTGTCCACACTGACTTCACCCATCACACTGAAGACTGCGGTCCAGTGTATCATGCCATTAATGGGTGGGTTATTAGGGGTGGGCCCAGTTGCTGGCGGGAGAGCCATGCACAGAAAATGGGAGGTTGCGCATGCTCAGTGTTTAACAAAAATAACTCTGCTGTACAGGTAGGGCCTACACATGCGCATGCCAAGCCAGACTCACGCCGCTCAACACCATCGCTCATATGTTAACTCTGTTTAACTCAACATCCCTGTAACTGTGCTTGTTCAAAGTGTGGTTTGACTTTTTCTTGACCACCAGCTGCAGGACAAGGATGAAAAAGAAAAAGAGAAGAAACGTAAAAAATATTCCTCTACTGGTAAAACTACACACCCTCAGTTATTTTTGTTATACACTCTGTTTTCATTTGCCAGCACTAGATATAAGGATAGAGCTGAGGAAAGAGCCTGACATGTCAGAACCTGATATGCGGATCCAGTCATGAAACTATCACAACAGATGTTGATGAAGGGCTCTTTGTTCCCCAGAGTAGCATTACTATTCAAAACGTCATTGGTGAAGGTGAAAATCATTAGTGAACGTAATTTTATTACATCATCCTTTTGCCATT